ATTTTTTTTTTTTTTTTTTTTTTTTTGTCTTTTTTCCGTGTCCGGCAACGGATCACAACCCTCAGTGCTGCCCCCGTACCAGACCGGGGACTGGCAACAGGATCGCAACCCTCGGCATTGCTCCGGGAACCGGTCTGTACGTGGGATCCGAACCCTCGGACGGGAGCGCCGCCGCGCTTCCCAAGCGGCGCACTATCCAGTGCGCCACCGGGCCGGCCCCCTACAGATGATTTTGAAAGACCTCCTGTCTTCCCTGGATTGAAAATCATTGCTTTGATTTCTCTGAAACAGTTCTTCTAAGGATTCCTGGAACTATGTGCTCCAGATCAAGCCTTCTTCCTCCTAGACCCCCAGTACTATTACCACTACCATAACCCCTGACAACCCCCACACCACTTCAAAAAAAAAAAGGAAGTGTGGCAGGTTCTTGTTTACATTATTCAAAAGCATTTCTGATTCTTTAGCCATTTTATTTTTTAAATCAACTTTATTTGCATAAAATTTACCTATAATAAAATACCCTTTTGTACAGTTTACTGAGTTTTGACATATAAATTCATGTAACCACCACACAATCAAGATATGGAACATTTCCATCACCCCAGAAAGGTCTCTTGTGCCCCTTTCAATTTGGTCTCTCATCTCACCCCTGGTACCAGGCAACCAATGATCTGCTTTCTGTCATTATATTTTTACTTTTTCTAGAATTTTGTGTAAATAGAAACAATATGTACATTTGTGTCTGACTTTTTCACTTAGCATAGTATTCTTGAGATCCATATTTTTATATGTATCACTAGTTTGTTCCTTTTTGTTAGTAAGTAGTTGTCTATTGGTGTCTGTACTACATTTTGTCTGTCCATCTAACAGTTGATGGACATTTAGGTTGTTTCTGGTTTAGGGCTATTGTGAATAATGTTGTTATGAACCTTCACGTACAAGTCTATGTGAACCTTTTTTTTTTTGGCAGCTGGTCTGTATGGGGATCCAAACCCTTGATCTTGGTGTTTTAACACTGTGCTCTAACCAACTGACCTAACCAGCCAGCCTTGATCATATGTTTTTATTTCTCTTGAGTAGATAACCTAGGGATGAAATTGTTGAGTGATAAGAAGCTACTAAACTATTTTCCAAAGTGGCTGTATTGCATTCCCACCAGCAGTGTTCCAGTTGGTCAATATTCTGTGCTACACACTTGGTATTGTCAGCCTTTATTTTTCGCCATTTTGGTGGGTGCGTGGTGGTATCTCACTGTGGCTATAATGTACACTTCCCTGATGACAAGTAACGTTGAACATCATTTTATGTATTTATTGGCCACTCATATGTCTTCCTATGTCTTGTGTCTACCTAAATCTGTTGCACATTATTTAAATTGAGTTGTCTTATTATTGAATTGTAAAAGTTATTTTTTAGGGGCAGCTGGTTGGTATGGGGATCTGAACCCCTGATCTTGGTGTTATAGAAAAAGTTCTTTGTATATTCCGTATATAAAGTTCTTTGTAGATACGCACATGCACACACATGAAATATTTTCTCCCAGTCTTGTCATTTTCTTAGTCTATCTTTCAATGGTAGAAGTTTTTAGTATTGATAAATTCCAATTTATCATATTTTTATTTTATATTTTATGCTCTTGATGTTCTGTTTTTGAGTCTTTACCTATCCCAAGAACATGAAGATTTTCTCTTCTCTTTTCTTTATAAGTTTTTTATATTTTAACTTTTTTGTTTAATTCTGTGATCCATTTCAAGTTAATTTTTGTGTATGGTATGAGGTAAGGGTTAAGGTTCATTTTTTTTCTAAATAGATATCGTCCATCTAGACAATTTTTTTTTTTTTTTTAAAAGATGACCGGTAAGGGGATCTCAACCCTTGACTTGGTGTTGTAAGCACCACGCTCAGCCAGTGAGTGAACCGGCCATCCCTATGTGGGATCCGAACCCGGGGCCTTGGTGTTATCAGCACCGCACTCTCCCGAGTGAGCCACGGGCCGGCCCGTCTAGACAATTTTTTCCCCCACAGAATTACTTTGGCCCCTCTGTTGAAAATTAATTGGTCATATATGCATAGGTCTATTTCTGAATTCCCTCTTCTGTTCTGTTGATCCATGTCTTACCTTAGACCCATGTACACTATTTTAATAACTGTAGCATCAAAGTAAGTCTAGAGATCAAGTGATCTAAGTCTTCAACCTTTATTCTTTTTCAAAATTATTTTGGCTATTTTAGGTATCTGGCATTTCCAAATAAGTTTTAGAATCAGCTTATCAGTTTCTTTTAAAAAGTGCTAGAATTTTGATTGGGATTGCATTGAATCTACAGGTCAGTTTGGAGAAAATTGACATCTTAATAATAGTGAATCTTCCAGTCTGTGAACATGGCACATCTCTTATTTAGATCATTTTTAATCCCTCTTAGCAATGTTATATAAATTTAGCATACAGACCTTTTCCATAATTTATTTTTAAATTATGCCTAGTTATTTTAGGTTTTTGTTGATATCGTAAATGGTTCTCATATTGTTTTTTAAATTTTATTTCCTAATTGTTCATCATTGCTATATAGAAGTGCAATGAGGTTTTGCAATTGACCTTGTTTCTAAATTCATTTTTTAGATCTAATGGCTTTTTTATAGAATATTTGAATTTTTTTTTGTCATGTTGCCCATGAATAAAGAGTTTTACACCTTCCTTTCCCATCTGTATGTCTTTGATTTGTTCTTGCCTTTTTTTTATAAAGACAGTCAAATTTAGCAGTGGGGGGTTGTATACCAACTTTAGTGACACTAATGTTAATGAGTTCTGATAACCCGGTTCCATTGGTCCAGCCCTTCTTCTTGCCCTTTTGCACTGGCCAGGACCCTTATGCACAGTGATGCAAAGAAGTGATGAGAGCAGGTATGCTTACTTTGTTCCTGTTCTTAGAGAAAACTCATTCATTCTTTTCACCATTAAGTATGATGTTAGCTATAAATTTTTCATATGTATCTTTTACTAACTTGAAGAAATTCCTTTCCTACTCCTAGTTGGCTGAGAGTTATTTTTAAATCATCAATTCGTGTTGAATTTTGTCAGATGCTTTTTGTCAGCAACTTTGAACAAAGAAACTTTTGTATACATTGATTCAGTTTTTAATATTAAACCAATCTTTCATTCCTGAGATAAACCACGCTTGGTCATGATATATTATGCTTTTAGCCATTCTGGATATAAATTCTTAATTTTAAATAACAAACATGAAACAACTAAGGAAAAAATGGGTGTACAAGAAAGGAGACATGGTCATCTTTATTTCCCTCTGCTATGAACCATGAGGGCATAGTCATAGTGATGTGAATGTGGACTTTCGATTTAATCAATAATTATGTCAGAACTGTGTTGGGAGAGTGAGGGCAGGAAGTAGGGTGGACGAAGGTGATGTAGGAGAGCTTAGTCTTTATCTACCATGGCAGCACGCTAGTAGACAAGTGTTTAAGACTAAGTCATGGCCATATAAACACTAAGAATGACGATCAAAAGCACGATAAACAGACAAAAAAAATTGAAGACAATTGCTTCTACAAAAGTGTCAATGGGAGGTTAGGTCAAGAGAAATTTAGAAACTAATTTAAATAAAACCATATAAAACAAACATCTCTTTCTTTGTAGAAGTCGCAGAATTTCAGAATGTACTTGGCCAAAGTACATCCAAGTTTATCATCACTGAAAGTTTCTCTAAACAAATCTTTAGAATCTAGCAATTTATAGGTCTAGTACAGTGCTTTGAATGCTTTTCTTTTTCTGAAAAGACCCGTAGTAATTTTTTTTTTAATTAGAAGGTATTTCTATAAAACATTTTACTAACTCAACCTGTTTCTATTTTCCTTTTAGGTTTAAGTTTTTGAAATTGAAATAGGTCTACACATTAGGAACTCATGTCTTTTCTTGTAAGTAAACCAGAGCGAATTAGGGTGAGTGTTTCTATTCTTCTTGCTTTACTAAAATGTTTGTTTTCTGAAAAGTAATGTGTTTTGGCAGATATTGTAGGTATACTTAGGTGGTTTATTATGTGATGCTGGGAATCATATAGAAGTGAGGGATGTAGGAAGTGAGGTAGAGGTAGGTACTCATTGCAGCCTCCATTCCTGAGAGAAGAGCTTGCAGGCAGTGGCGGACCAGAAACACAAAATATACCACCAGCTTGTCTGATAGAGAAGAAACAAGAAGGTGGCTTATTTTATAAATTTCGGTCATACAATAGTTAATGCGTTGATGGCTCTTTTTAGTGTAGATGTGTAACTACTAATGATGTCCCCATTTCCTCTGTGTTTTTGATGGGTTTGTGTGTTTTTAAAACCAGTATTAAATTGTAATTACTGGAACACTTTTTTCTAAGTATAATCCTTAGTTTTAATTGAAGGTTTTTTGAACATGAAAAATTTTATTACTCCTCAAAATTTTATCAGCTAAAATGACCTCAAAAACAAATAGTGGATTTAGCTTCTTTACAAGCTCCCGTGATTTCATACAAGAGTATCTAAATATATTTTCTTTTTTAATTTGGAAAAAAAATTGTTATAGAGGACAATGAATGATGTTGTAGTTCCCATTGACAATCCATGTTATACAACTTATTTCTGAATGTTAGTCTTTTTTCTTATGTTTATGTATATAAAAATAATTTATATTAGAAAGAGTAAATTTCACTGTTAATTAAGAGGAAAAAGGGACTCTCTCCTTACACAGAACTCTACCCAGTGGAAAGAATGCCCCCATGCCAAACTTTAATGCCAGTTCTTAAGTGAAATACAATCTTGATTCCATTGCTTTTAAGTATGAGCTTCTTTTCTGTTTCAACCTAGCCTGATTCAGGTGAAACCAGACCACTGCTCAGTGTGATGGAAATCTAATACTCATTTGAAATAGGCCAGTGAGGTGAACCATAGATTGATCCTCCTAGTTTTGTCCTTGTGAACTTGGTAGAAAATGTAAGCAGTGATATCTTTAGAAACTCTAATGGATAAAAGAATATGAAGCTTGCTGTGTTTCGTTTTACAAAACTATTAGGGGCTTGTGAAAAACTACTGTTTCATCCCTTTTTCTGTGTTATGAATTCCAATAATAATTTTTATTTATTTATTTTAACTTATTTTTTATTTTTATTTTTTTTTAAAAAGATGACCAGTAAGGGGATCTCAACCCTTGACTTAGTGTTGTCAGCACCACGCTCAGCCAGTGAGCGAACCAGCCATCCCTATATATAGGATCCAAACCCATGGCCTTGGTGTTATCAGCCGAGTGAGCCACAGGCTGGCCCTCCAATAATAATTTTTAAATTAGCATTGATCATAGGCATCTGTAATAGATAGCTATGGAATGAGTAAGATGGAACAAAAGGTAATTTTATATATAAGAAAGACAAATATGCTTTGCTTTAGGGACAGTACTGTGTATTTCTTAATCTGTCCGAATTAAGAATTATTTATCAAATTAGGCAAAGAGGAATACAGAAAGGAATCAATCTATTTTTAGTTGATTTCAAGATTCTTTTCAAAACTTTTCCATAGAAATGTGTCCTAACTGTACTGCATGCTTCCGTATTTGTAGTTGTGTTTTCGTTTGTCTAAAGGCTGATAGCTAATTTGTAGCTTGGAAGAAATACTAATTCTCTTTGGGGTTTTCCTCTTTAGCGGTGGGTCTCGGAAAAGTTCATTGTTGAGGGCTTAAGAGATTTGGAACTATTTGGAGGTAAGTACAGTATGACATTTAGCTTTCACTTGAGGATAAATATCACTGCTCTTTTGTTGACTAAATCAACTCATAGAAATTAGCAATTCTAAGGACAGTGTAAACTATAGTTGTTGGATTTATTTGGCTTCTTTTTGAATCTATGGTTTCCCAAAGATTTGAGGACTAATACGGCAGTTATTCTTGGCCTGATTGTTAGAAAGCCAGTATTTACTTAAAGGCACACATGTTTCTTCTAAGTATTTGTCCACTTAAAATACATATTCTTTTTTTTTTTGGCAGTTGGACTGTACAGGGGTCCACACCCTTGACCTTGGTGTTATAAGGCTGTACTGTAACCAACTGAGCTAACCAGCCAGCCCAATATTAATATTATTATTATTACTTTTTTTTTTGCAGCTAGCTGGCCAGTGCAGGGATCAAACCCTGGACCTTGGCGTTATCAGCACCATGCTCTAACCAACTGGGCTAACTGGCCCACCCCCCAAAAAAAATTTTTAAAGGAAAAATCTAAGTGTTCAAAAGTCTCTAGTCTTGAAGATTTAAGAAAATAATAGGATGAAGATAGCAGTGATAAAATGCTGGTTTTACTGATCGATCTAGTTGACTCATTTTTTCATGGTAGAAATTATGAGACTTAAAAGAACTAAGGAAAAATATGTCGGGGCAAAAATATTAACTTCCTACTGTAAAATCTAAATGTTGGTTTCAGAAATAAACTTCTAAGTTTTAACAAGCCCAGGTATTCCCCTTTGGCCATTTCAAAGTGAGCCTGTGATCTCAATTTAGGGCAAAAATATATACATATTTCTTATAAAGATAATAGTAATATTGCCCCATTCCTTGTGTCTGAATACTAAGATGCTCTTTTAGGATCCCATAGCTAAAGAAACAGGTTATCAGACTGAGTGCGTTGATGAACTGCTCCAAAATACCCCTAGACAGCTGGCCAGTTAGCGCAATTGGTTAAAGTGTGGTGCCAACAACACCAGGGTCCAGAGTTTTATCCCTGTACAGGCCAGCAGGTTAAAAAAAAGTCTACATAATACTCCTAAACAGGGTTAAGTAATTGAAAACTCAAACTTCTTAGTTACTAGGTGGTACCTATTAATTTATTTTTCCTAATGCATACCAAAGGACTTCTAGAGTAGTACTGTTTGTCAACTTTGTCAAAGTGTTATGTTTTAGGCAAATGGAAGTTTATAGAAAAATGATGAGTTTTTTTGCTTTAGCTATAAAGAATAAAAATTAGCTGCACAATAAAGGAAAGGCTAATGGGACCAAAATACTGTATTGTGATCCTATTCTCATTTTCTTCCCATCATTAATGGGAGTAAAATGTTTAAAAGTAAACATTGGCATTAATGGAAGTTGACTTGGAAGTCCAGTATACGATGAATTAGTTACAAATATTCCAGTATATGTGAATTGAATTAATGGGTTTTGGTTTCAGTGTCTTGAGAGTAGGATCTCTGACAATGCCTTAGTCTCTGATCTGAGGAAGGTGAAGAGGTTTTTCTATATAAAGTCTATATTAACAAGTTTTGTACAACTTGGAATTTGCCTTCTATCTGGAAGATTGAGTTAGATTTCCTTCAATTCATTCACCTGGTTTTTTACCTTTGGTATACTGTCTTAAGCAACTGCTCCTGCCATTGGTGTACTAGAAAACTGATGTTAAAGGAGGAAAAAATTCCTATTTTGATGAATTTGAGGCTAACTTATTCTGTAGGCAGTCTCCTCTAGCAATAAATTTGAATACTCTAATATATTTTAGAAGAAAGAATTTTCCTTGGTGACTAGATTTACTTCTCTAATTTTTTATAGTTTAAGATATTTAGAACTACATAATTTATTTGGAACTGTATAAACACCCCAGTACTTTACAGTTAAAAGTCTTCACTTTATTTTAATCACTTTGATACAATGGAGAAAATCAATAGCACATACATAATTTGCCTGATTTAAAAGCAGAAAGTTATTTCAGTTATTCTTTGCTTTGTTCATTTTCACTAAGAGTAGCAGAATGCCAAAATGCCTTTGCTTTATTTTATTTATTTTTTATTTATTTTTTATTTTTTTAAAAGATGGCCGGTAAGGGGATCTTAACCCTTGACTTGGTGTTGTCAGCACCACACTCACCCAGTGAGCTAACCGGCCATCCCTATATGGGATCCGAACCCGGGGCCTTGGTGTTATCAGCACTGCACTCTCCCGAGTGAGCCACGGGCTGGCCCTGCCTTTGCTTTATTTGCATTCAGAATAGAATGTATCTTTTTTTAAAAAAATATTTATCTGATTTGGAAAATCAAATTGGGTAATGGTCCCTCATTACATGTGTTTCTGTATGAAAACATTTTTTGCCTTTAAAAAAATTTTTTTTTCTAGTCCCTGTACACCCTGGGAAATGGCCAGCTCTATAACTTTATAATAATGAATTTTGGACTCACAAAGTGTAAGATCTGAAACCAGCCTATTCAAAATAACACTGTGTGCAGACAAAAAGTAAATATATGACTAGAATTGTAGCTGTTGTGTTATACCCAGTAAAGAATACCCATAGAGTAGTAGCCTTGCCAAGTTTTGAAGAGCCATAGATCCATGTTTAAAATCCCACCTATCTGTAGCATTTTTACTGTGGATCTGTGTGTGTGTTTATATGTAGCATGGCACGCACTTTTTGCTGTAATGACTTTTAAGTGGTTTCCATTAATAAATGTAGTCCTAAGTGCAATGATTGCTGTTCTGAATGTGGGTATGTCTCTTGCTAAAAACCAAAATGCCAACAATCAATTTCTCTACTCCAGAGCAGCCTCCGGGTGACACTCGGAGAAAAGTAAGTGCCTTTCTAGGCTCTTTAGCATTGTGGCTGTTGCATGGAAATGACTTCTTGTGGAAGTTTGTTTTGCTGACTTCTCATTTTATGTTTCTGCTTATCTGTCGTTGAGTTTTATTTGTAGTGTAATTCTTTTACTCGTGGAGATTCAGGTTTCACCCTGGAAAGATTTTGATGTGTAGTTTCAAAACTGAAAAGTCTCAGGTACTTTTTGTCTCTTCTTGGTTGGGTATTCCCAACCCTACCAATCACCCATCATCCCCTCCCCCCAAAAAGTAAGTTTCAACAGTCTGAAATGTGGTTATCTTTTAGTGACTGGTAGAACTAAATTTTCCATCCTTACCTTATTAATAATAGATTTCAATTCACAGAGATAATCTAGACCTCATTCTAGATAATAAGGCAGGACCTCAAATTTCCTACCTTAAAAACAAAACCAAATTTAACAAGTATAAAACATAAAATTTAGTTCTTTCATTGGCAAAAGCTGCAAGACTCTTGCCCTATTTCCTCCTCTTCTAGTTTATTTTACCTACGTAAATAGCACCAGATGTGCACAGTGTACCAAGCAATTTTGGAAAATGTGAATCAGTGCCATATGAAGAGAGAGGATAAGAACCCTTTCCTAAGTAGACAGCTTTTTTTTTTTTTTTTTTTTAAATAAAAGATGACCGGTAAGGGGAACTTAACCCTTGACTTGGTGTTGTCAGCACCATGCTCTCCCAAGTGAGCTAACTGGCCATCGCTATATAGGGATCCGAACCCTTGGCCTCTGTGGTATCAGCACCACACTCTCCCAAGTGAGCCACAGGCCGGCCCTACGTAGACTTCTGGTTACAAATGCAAAGGTTTGCACCTTTTGCCAGCAGCCTCAAGGTTGATGGAAGAAAGTAATGTTGACTGGGAATTTCTCTTTGAGTAAAGCTTTGGCTGTGCTTATATTGTCTGCTCTTCAGGAGCACCTGAAGATCTATCAGATCCAAATGTTTTTCCAGTCAGGAGACCAAAAAAGTTTCCTGTGGGATCAATTAGGTGTTTTTCTAGAATACAGTGTCAATTATACGTAATTTTTATTGGCTGCCGATGTTATATCAAAAAGTTATCCTGTGTGAAACCTGTGGGAAGTTGAATGTGTTTATTTGGTAGCATTTCATAAATATTGTCTTTGTATGCTCTATTGTATTTTGTTTTAAAGCTCTTTAAACAAAGTTATTTTGTGGTCATTTCTGGATATCGGTAGCTTATGTATTTTTCAAATGCTTCAAAATGAATAAAATGCTTTTCATGGTAGGAGAAACTAAGAAAAGACTTTTATAGAATTAGTTTCTTTCTTTGAGTAATTTGAGATTATACATTACACTAATAAAACTGTGCCATGCTGTGTTTAAGGAGAATGAACTAAGTATTTTATCCTTTTCATCTGAATGTAGACATTTTCTAAATCTGAAACAATATAAGGAACTAACCTGCCTTTTGTGTGGCAATATCAGGCCAGACCTCTTCCTTTCAAAATATTGCCTTTGTTTCTTGGTTTGTTTGTTTTCCTAAATAAACGTTGTCTTTCTCTGAGTTCAGACCTGTAGAATATCCACAAAGTAGAAAGTCTCCATATTAGGATTGTTTCCAGTGAGTTGGGGACAGAGGGGTGGAGGAGCCACAGCAATCACTAGACTAGTTCATTTCATACAGTTCCCAACTGCCATAAACTCATATTCCCAATTACCCAAAGAATTTTATTTTCTAAAGCTAACAATTTTGAGTAGTTTTCTGTACTACTAGATAGTAGAAGTATTTGTCAAGTTACTAACTAAGCACATCAATAATTTAATGAATCATTTCCTACTTAGGCTCAATAAGAATGTATCTCGCATATAGTCTGGTAGACAGTATGTTTTATATGTACCAGTGTCGAGGAAAAGGGACATAGGGTAATAAAAGTATTTAACTGTAGTTCTTCCAAAGGGAGTTATTTGAAGTGGACTCAGCAGGACTCAGCTGTTCTTCATAGTCTCTTTTTCAAATCAGAGAAACTTTAAGGAGTTTGCTTGGAGATCAAAGGAGAGAAAACCTTCAAATACAAAGCAGTTGCTTCTCATTGGGCCGTATTGTTACCTGCTAAAAAAAAATGCAGTACTTTCTCACATGCGGGTATTGGATTCTGATCTACAGAGTGCTCCTAGTATCAGGGGATTCTGGTGGAAGCGTTGTATGAGGGGTGGCACTTCCAGTATAGGTTATTATGGTGAACCCTGTCTCCAAAGTAACTGGCTGGTAACATTTTTCCTGCTGTCCTCTTCAGTGCATGGGAATGACAAGGTCATGGGCAGAAAACCCCCTTAGTTCAAACTTTGCCTAAATGATTTTTGTTTTTTAAGTATGTGTCAGCATTGTTCTAGGCATTGGGAAATAAATACATTAGTGAACAAAACAGACAAGGTCCCTGCCCTCATGGAGTTTGCATTCTAGCGGAGGAAACAAGCAATAGATAGATAAGCTGTGGTGATAACTACTGTAGAGAAAGTAAAGCCAGGCAATACAATAAAGTGACGAGGAGCCTACTTTGCTTTGGCTGAACAGAGTCTTCTCTGAAGAGATGATATTTAAGTTGGTCTTTGTGTGATACCTTATGTTTTACTAAAAAAAAAAATAGCATTTCCCAAATTACCTTCCCCCCAATTTAACAGATATTAGGCACAGAAGGTTCCCTGGACAGACATATTTGGGAAGTGCTAGGTTAAATAAAGTTAAACAAGTTTCCTTACTACAAAGCATCTCAATGCCTTTAATATGAGAGTACACCTTGTGATTTTCCATGAGAAAAGCATATGTCGCATTTCCTGACTTGACATGGGAACTTTTTTCATGCATCAATGAACACTGCAACATCAGTGTTCTGTGGGACCTACTTTGGGGAAATCCTGCACTGACAACTCAGTAGAAAAATGTAGAAGAGACAGGAAGAGGCATTTTCACCTTGGAGAAAATCTACACAGCCAATAAACACATGAAAAGATGTTCACCTTCATTAGTAATCAGGGAAATGTAAGTCAAATCCACAATGACATTGGCAAAAATTAAGAAATCTGAAAATACGAAGTGATGGGGAAAAGATCAATCAACAAGAACACACATACATTGCTGATGGGAGTGTAAATTGGTATAATCATTTTGGAAAACAATTTGGCATTATCTCATAAAGTTGATTGTTTAAATATTCTGTGACCTAGCAATTCTGTCCACTTCTACGTATAAGCTTTAGTCAGGAGACATCCAAATATGTTTATAGTCATAACAGCAGAACTGAAAAACAACCCAAAAAGCTCGTCAATGTCGGAATGGAGAAGTTGAGGTATATTCATGAGATGAATATTATGCAACAATAAAAATGGATGAAATATAGCAAAATATAGTATGGCTGAATCTTAGAAATATAAAAAGTTGATCAAGTTAGAAATGGAATTTCACTGTTAACAGGGCTCGATTTTGCTTGGCTATTTTCCTCTAACTGGCAGTGTAAGTTATAAGGGGAGGCAGAGCCCCACATGGTTCCTTTCCCCATCGGCTGTGTCCACTGTTTTGAAACCAGATGTTCTTGAAACGTCAGCTAACAAGGTGGTATATTAATTTCACTGGCCTGGGTCCTGTCTGTGCTGTGTACTCACATTTTGGTTTTTGGCAAATCTCTTAATCTCTTTGGCCCTCATTTTTGTTATTGCACATGGGGATGACATCTGCCCCATCTACTTCACTGAAGATCAGAGGCATAGATCAGATGCAGTGTGGAAGTGCTCTGGAAAGTATTTCATGGTCAGATAACAGGTATAGAGTACTTTCATTGTTATGGGCTCCTGCAGAACTACATCCCTGATGCTTGTTCTGGCACCACCTCGTCAGAACATTCTCAACTCTCACTCTCCTGGCCAGTGCTGAGCCATGAACCTTTCATACATTCACAAAGATCTTTTTCTGACCAGAGGTCAGGTTTATGAATGCCACATATGAAATATGAGCTAGCCTTAGTTTTCTCCATTTCAGTTAGACACACATCTGAAGAAAGAGAATCTAACAAAAAGCAAAATATTCACAATCCCTAAATCATACAAATAAATTTGAGTCTAGAAGGAAACTGAGCCCATTAAGCTGAAAGAAGAGCTGTTGTCTGCCATGTGTTTTTCTTCCAGCACTCAGAGATTCCTGAATGGCTGAGCTGCAGCTTGATTCACAGCATGAGTGGGCAGGAACGAGGGAGCAAGTCCCTTCTGCTGCCTGGAAGATGGCTGAGACCAGACAGCTCTGGTCCTTGCCTGCAGCTCCGTGCATTGGTGGTCCTCTCATTTCACTTGGAGATGTCAGGGAATGACTGGCCTGGGTGCTTGGTTTGCTAAAGATGGGGCTGCTTCTTGCCACATTTTCCCTAGAGCAAGATAGTGTTTGACCTTTTAGGATCTTGCAGTAAGGACTTTTAAAATAGGACCCTGATGCAGCAGGATATTGAGGAGAACCCCCACCTCTCCATCCCCTTTTCTTTTCTAAATGTGCCTTTCTTTCTCCAGACATCCTTTCCCCAGGTAAGAATTACATGGTTTTTAGCAAATGTCGATTGTTGGAAAGGACAAGAAGATTAAGAGTTGAGTGGAATGGGTCCTTGTCCCCCCACAGTCCCCCATTTGTAGACAACACTGGCACTTGCTTGCTCTGATACTGGTGCTGATTACTACAGTGAACATCCGATATTTCATTGCTCTTCAAATAGCGCTGGCGCTACTTCTTTGCCACCAAGTCAGGATTTGTATGTGTGTCTAGATGCCAGTCTCCTTGTGGGTCTGAATTATCATCTCCCCTCTGCTTCCCACCCCCAGTTTTCTCTATTAACCTATTTTTCTTTTTCTTTAGACCAATGAGGCGAGCTCAGAGTCGATAGCATCCTTCTCTAAACAAGAGATCATGAGTAGCTTTCTGCCAGAGGGAGGGTGTTATGAGCTACTCACCATTATAGGTAATGTCTGGGGACTGTCATTACTTTCCTGCTCCAGGGACTGCTGCAGCTTTCTCAGCATCCCCAGATGAAGTGCACCAGAGGCCGCCAGCTAGGTAGTAAGATTCATGATGACTAAACTGGCTTTTGTGGGTCTTTTTGTGTTTTCTTATGCCAAGATGGGAAGAGATCATGCTTTGAGGAGAGAAGCTCTTTTGCCATTTTTTTCTTGGTGGCTGCACACTCTAGGCCATAGTCAATTAGAATGGTTGGCTGAGAAGGAACTAATAGGAGAAAAATCAAGAAATATCAGCCATGAAAGTAACAGCAGTGAAAATTTTAACTTGAATTTTCCTTTGAAATCAAGTCCCTTTTTCTTTAAGGAAGAAAAGCCTTCATTGCTATTGTCCTTGTTCCTCTTTTCTTTTAGGCAAAGGATTTGAGGACTTGATGACAGTGAATCTAGCAAGGTACAAACCAACGGGAGAGTATGTGACGGTACGGAGGATTAACCTAGAAGCCTGTTCCAATGAGATGGTGACGTTCTTGCAGGTAATAAAACATGAGTGTGACACTTGGAGGGTGGGCTCTTGGTTCCAGTAGTAATTGCCAGGCATCTGTCACTCTGGTTCTCTGAAAGTACCTGGCAGGAGATGAAGGTAGACCAAATATTAAGAAGTTGTGGAAGCTTTCAGTGGAGAATCTTGGGCACTCAGCACAAAGGATTGGGCTGTAATACTGCTGAACCCCATTTATATTCCCCTCTTTTCTCCAAATACTCCTTTCTGGCTCATTTATTCATCAGAGAGTTTAAGTAACTTGCCTGTGGTCACACAAACTAGTAAGCGGCAGAGGCAGAATTCAAACCCAGGCAGTTTTGTTCCAGCTGCAAAGTAGCCTTTGCCCTGCAAAGTGGCTACCTTCTGGCTCTTAGCATCCTGTTTGCCCAAGGTTCCTTTCTACTGGAGAAGCAAGTAGCCGCCGTCTTGTTAAACTGAGAGAGACTACAGGTCTATTAACTGACTGGACCAGATTCTCCTTCGTTGATGCAGGCTTAGGTTCAGGCCTGGGGCAGCGCATGTTCAGTTAGTTGCAGCCCTCCCTGTCTTCATTTACGATGTTGCTCTGACTTGATGCTCACCCGGTGGTGCTCTAGTACCAGCTCGTCCGTCCAGAATAGTTTGGTGGCTCTGAGGATGGAGCAGGCCAGTCTCAGCTTAGTTATTTGAGAAAAAACATATGAGTTGTTCTCAAGTGTGTTGGAGTTTATGATTCTTCTGAATTTTCTCCTGTAAAGTAGTGGACATGCAGAAGGTACAACCCATCTGGGCTTAGCTCATGTCCCAAAGGCCAGGACCCTGGAGTTTCTGTAATTCTTTTATCCAGGTATTCTTTACACTTCCTGTAGCTGCTGCTGAGGAAGGATCTGTCAATCTGAGGTTGCTGGAAAAATATCTTCTAATGTTTAGTAGTTGTCATTTGTTTTTTAATACTTTCTTGTTTCTATCAACTACAACATTTTCATTTATAATAGAAAAACATTTTTTTGTTTTCTTATTTGAAAGAGAAATTCTATACATTGGCCCTTGAAGTTGAGCTAAGCTTATAACTTCATAAGTCTCCAGTCAACAGTTTGTTTTCACCATCTCTGAGGTGGTGAGCCAGGACCCTCTATTTTGTTGTCAGCAGTGTCCTTGTTGGGCGGGGGACTGTTTCTTGGGGCTCTTTAGGATTGGCTGGCAGGGCCACATGGAGGCAGAGCTAGCAAAGCAGTGGCTTCCCTCAGAGACAGCAGGACCTAATTTTTCCTGTAGTGGGAGCACCAGGACTCTGAAAAGAGCACTCAGAAAGTACTGGGTCCCCATATTATTCATGCTGCCCCCTTCACGTTGAGCAACACTCTTCAGTGCCCCTTGATTCTGACTTCACCTTTACCATTGCTTTCAGGGGGAGCTTCATGTCTCTAAACTCTTCAACCATCCCAATATTGTGCCATATCGGGCCACCTTTATTGCAGACAATGAGCTGTGGGTTGTCACATCATTCATGGCATATGGTGAGTGGGAAGGGGTTCCTGGAAGAGAGGAGTTCTAAGAACTCTGTTTTCAGATTGCTTATGTGCTGTTTTCCTCTCTATTAGCCTTCACTACCTCCCCACAATTCTTTTCTTTAGGTTCTGCAAAGGATCTCATCAGTACCCACTTCATGGATGGCATGAACGAGCTGGCGATTGCTTACATCCTGCAGGGAGTGCTCAAGGCCCTGGACTACATCCACCACATGGGATATGTACACAGGTGTGTTCCTAGGCAGCCTCACCCTTTATTAGAGCAGGTGCTGTGTCCACAGGCCCTCAGGTAAATGAGGGTTGAAGGTACAAACACTTGAAGTCTTTTTTAGTTGGTTTTTTTTTATGGCGCTAGCCAGTTCATTGCTTGAAGTTTGACTGAAGTTAGTGAAGCCAGAGTTTAAAATCAAGGATCTGGATTCTGACCTTGCGACTGACTTGGGGGACAGTCATTTAGCCTGTCAGTGCTGAAACCGTTGACTCTTTACTGAGCAGCTTGGTCCTGTGTATTGTGTGAGAGGAACCTCTGATGTGGACCTCTGACCCCCACACCTGCCTCATGTGTCCCAGAGTGAGTCCTATGCTGAGAGATTGCTTAGTAGGTGGTATCAGGAAAATGAGCTCATAGTAGGAAAGGTAATAAAACCGCACCGTACATCACTCCACGTACATCGAGGACTCCAGATGGATTAAAGGCCTAAATGTAAAATGTAAAAACTACACACTTAGATAGAAGGACGTGTGAGGAAATACTCTTATAACCTGAGGCATAGAACTTCTCAACATTTTAGAAGCACAAAGCATAAAGCAAAAAAATGATGAATTTGGTTATATCAAGATTAAAGATTTCTATCCAATAAAGGAAACCATGAAAAAAGTCAAGAAATGGATGACAGAGAAGAAGAAGATATTAGCTTTGTCTAAAACACAGAAGTAAAACAAATGAAACACAGTGGAGTTTAATTACGTGGAAATCTTGCAAAGCAACAAGAAAAGGAAAGCAAAGAATAGAAAAATGGGCCAAGGATATGAAGTTTATAAAAGAGGAGACTCCAAAGACTAGAAGTCATTGGAATAGACAAGTGTTTAGCCATCAGAGAAAAGCAAATGGAAACAAGATGGCACTTTACCCACACGAGGCTGGCAGTGGTCAGGAGGGTGGGTAAGGCCAGTGCAGTGAGGATGTGGGAGCCTCCTGTCCAGGTGATGGGAGATGGCCCCATGCAGCCAGGAAGAGTCATGGAATCAGACCATCAGTGCTATCTCTGGGTGTTCATCCCAAAGGAACCTTTGTGCAGGACCATGAAGGGGACATGTTTGCGGATGTCATTGTTCATATTTGTGCTAGTTAGAGGCAGCACGAGTGTCCCATCCCAGAAGAACTGAAAAGTGTTAGATCCCATCACAGAGTCAAGGTGGCAATTACAAGCAAAGATTAGGAGTATACACATAGCAACACGATGGATCTTGAAACCATAGCACTGAGTGAAAAAGGAAGAATGAGATGCATAACATGGTCCCATTAGGTAAATTTAAATTATATGCATATGGCTGGTTAGCTCAGTTGGCTAGAGCATGGTGCTGATAACACCAAGGTCCAGGGTTCAATCCCTGTAGTGGCCAGCCACCAAAAAAAATAAATAAATAAATTATATGCATAAAACAATGGTGCGCTTTAGAAGAATGCCTACCAACAAAAAGTACAGATTAACAGCATTAGTAGGAAGTAGGGGGAAGAGATAGTCTATGAGCATAAAAGAGAGATTAACAGGGTATAAATGAGTTTTTAAATCTGGTGATATGTAAATGAGTTCATGCTATTTTCTCTTTTGTGTATGTTTGAAATTTTTCATAAAAACGTTTTTTTAATATATAAAATTTGTATATGCACATATAATACACACACACACACACACACACGTGGCCAGGGAAGAGAGCCGACTGGATCTAGCATATGAAGACCAAGGTTTGCAGTGTGAGGGGCTCCTGCTGCCCGTGACACCTCCCCACCTCCTATATCCCCCACAGAAGTGTCAAAGCCAGCCACATTCTGATCTCCGTGGATGGGAAGGTCTACTTGTCTGGTTTACGCAGCAACCTCAGCATGATCAGCCATGGGCGGCGGCAGCGTGTGGTCCATGATTTTCCCAAGTACAGTATCAAGGTCCTGCCTTGGCTCAGCCCGGAGGTCCTCCAGCAGGTCTGTGCACTGGGTCCTGATGAGCCCATCTCTCACCCACTCGTGATTTCCCAAGAAAGCCTTCAGGAATTTCCTGGGGTAGGGGGTGGTCTCTCCTTCTGAGTGGAGTTCCCAGATGGAGGGCGGTTCCTGCCCGTTGCAGATGGATGTGGTTCCCTTCTGTGGGGACCTCAACTGTACATCATTTCAACTCCCTGCAGGGACCCGTCCTACTCCGTGAGAAGAGTGAGCATTTTGGAAATAGTTGGTGCTCTCTAGATCCCCGTGTTGAGCAGACCCATGGGGCCCCGCACTTCTTGCTGATTACATAGCATTGCCAAACATTTGTTCCTTGTAAAGCAGCAGTTAGTCTTCAGTAGTGTAGTCAGGAAGAGTCGTTAGCAGCTGGTCCCAATTTGGGGACAGGCGTTCTTTTCATCCCCTCAGTTTTTGCTCCGTCCTTTTTCTAAGAACAAAGACCAAGGCTACTAGTGGAGTCATCTGTGGCTTTTTTCTCCTGACAGAATCTTCAGGGTTATGATGCCAAGTCTGACATCTACAGTGTGGGAATCACAGCCTGTGAACTGGCCAATGGCCATGTCCCCTTTAAGGATATGCCTGCCACCCAGGTGAGCCTGCAGCCCACTGGTTTCTTTCTTGCCTGCCTGCCTGCCTTCCACAAATGTTTGAGTACCAGGACACTCAGGACACTGACCAGGGATACTAAGATGAAAGACAGTCCTTTCCTTCAACAAGCCCCACCAATGCGGGGGATGGTTGTATAACTCTTTGTTTACTTCTCTATGTGATAAATGCTGTGGTAATGGAGCCCAGCCCAGGGGACAGGAGCCCAGAGCAGGCCCACTTCCAGCACTTGCAGTGCCTGGAGCAGGAGAGCAAATGGAGACCCACATACCATATGTCATTTAAAATGTATGAATCAAGCTAGCCAGTTTTTATAAATTTAGAAATTATGTCCTATTCTCCTATCTTGATAAATATACCTGAAAAGTTAATTTCTAATTTAGGATTTTCAGGTTTCTCAGAGTACTGTGCCACCACATTCCAGCCAACCCCTTTGGAGCCTCCATTCTGCAAATTCAACTTCTATTCATGCCCCCTACCAATGCCTGCCCTTTGGCCATCCCTAGGGCCTAGGGGCACACAGCCAGTGGCACAGTCTACCCTTGGGAGGACAGACCCAGGGAAGAGGCTTATCTAGGCGTCATCACATCTAGGAAGTGGACTTGGAGGTATCTGGGCAAGGATTACCTGGGTCCCAGCTACCTGGGAGTGGGAGGTGTGCAGGCTCTGAGCAAGCCTCTCCCTTAAGCCCACAGACTGCTTACCCTGTGGGGAGGGGCAGCTAGAGAATGGCCAGAGAGGAGCTCTCTAGACCAGGGATCCAGTGAGGCTTTTGGGAGGAAGCAGCACTTGAACTGGGTCTTAAAGGCAAATAGCAATTAATTGTATGAAGAACGGGAACCAGAAAGAGACTTCAGGGCAGAGAGAAGAGCATGACCCAGAGTCAAGACAGGACAGGATCTGGCGAACAGCAAGTAGTTGTAAATGGCACAGGTGCTCCTGAGGGGTTGCCCTGTGATGAGGCTGGAGAAGGAAGCAAGCGCACCTTGTGGAGGGCCTTGAATGCCACTCTTGGGCACTTGGTTCCTGTTTCAAAGCATGTGGAGAATTGTTGAAGGATTTTAAGCACAGGAATGATAGCATGAAATATATATTTTAGAAAGATCACTCTAACAGATGGATTGGATCTGATAGAGCAGTTAGGGCTGTGTGGAAATCTAGGAAATCTAAGTAAAATAATTCAGTAACACAGATGCTCAGGAAAGAGTTAAAAGGCTATTTAGGGTGAATAAGAGTACCGGTCTAGAAGCAACACTGTCCAATAGAACTTTCTGCAATGATGGAAATGTTCTGTATCTGTGCTGTCCAATATGGTGGCCACTACCTACCTGTTGAGCACTTAAAATGTGGCCAGTGAGAATGAGGGACTTTTTTTTTTTTTTTTTTAAAAAGATGACCGGTAAGGGGATCTCAACCCTTGGCTTGGTGTTGTCAGCACCGCGCTCAGCCAGTGAGCTAACCAGCCATCCCTATGTAGGATCCGAACCCATGGCCTTGGTGTTATCAGCACCACACTCTACCGAGTGAGCCACGGGCCGGCCTATGAGGGACTGACTTTTAAACCTAATTAAAAGTAATTTAAATGTAGGGGCCGGCCCGTGGCTCACTCGGGGGAGTGCGGTGCTGGTAGCGCCGAGGCCACGGGTTCGAATCCTACATAGGGATGGCCGGTGCGCTCACTGGCTGAGCGTGGTGCAGACGTGGCTCACTCGGGTGAGTGCGGTGCTGGTAGCGCCGAGGCCACGGGTTCGAATCCTACATAGGGATGGCCGGTGCGCTCACTGGCTGAGCGTGGTGCAGAAAGTGGTGCGGACGACACTGAGCCAAGGGTTGCGATCCCCTTACCGGTCAAATAAATAAATAAATAAATAAAATAAAATAAATATATTTATATATGTTTTTTTTTTTTTTGTCTCTTTTTTCGTGTCCGGCAACGGATCGCAACCCTCAGTGTCACGCCCGTACCGGACCGGGACCGGCAACGGGATCGCAACCCTCAGTGTTGCGCCCGCACCTCGCTCAGCCAGTGAGCAGGAACCGGTCTGTATGTGGGATCCGAACCCTCGGCGGGAGCGCCGCCATGCTCCCAAACGGTGCACTGTAGCAGTGCGCCACCGGGCCGGCCCTATGTATATATGTATTAAAAAAAATTTTTTTTAAATAAAAAGTAATTTATTTTTTATTTTTATTTTTTTTGTGACCGGTAAGGGAATCGTAACCCTTGGCTTGGTGTTGTCTGCACCACGCTCAGCCAGTGAGCGCACCGGCCATCCCTATATAGGATCCGAACCCACGGCCTCGGTGCTCCAAGCGCCGCACTCTCCCAAGTGAGCCAAAGGGTCGGCCCAAAATAAAAAGTAACTTAAATGTAAACAGCCACATGTGGCTAGTAGCTACTATATGTGCACAGCTCTAGAGAAATTTCCAGGTTTCTGGCCTGGACAGCTTATGAGGCTCCTGAGGACAGCCCCGAGGACAGCAATACTCAAGGTGTAGCTGGCTCTGCATGTGTTGTGTTTGAGAGCTTTGGCTGCCCAAGCTGGGCCTACCCTGGGCACACTGCTGCTCTGCAGCCTGCCACAGCCACAACCCAGGATGTGACACTGCAGGTACCGTGCTGCAGGTACTGCACTGCGGACCCCATTGGACCCATGTGGGCCTGGCAAATGGGCTGGCCTTCAAAGAAGGTGACTTGGCCTTCTCCACCCTGGGGGGAGGCCTCTACAGTTAGAGGAATTGGATGCCTTACAAAGGGGGAGAGGAAACTGTGAGCCCCTTCCTTCCAGCCCCCGGGCAAGGGGGTACTTTTGCACAAGTCCTCTTCTCCTCCTCTTCATGTTGGCCTGGCTGGGCTGGAGCTGCTGAGCTGGTGACCAGCATTCCAAGGAGGAGAAGCTAGACTTACTCCACTTCCATCTTTTCTCAACTCCAAAAGACACAGTTGTATACTAGGAAAAGCGTATTTGTGAAGAGACTCCCTAGGCCTTCCAGGGACCCCCTGCAGCCCAGTCCCTGGCTCTGTCCTCCCCAGATGCTGCTGGAGAAACTGAATGGCACAGTGCCCTGCCTGTTGGATACTAGCACCATCCCCGCCGAGGAGCTGACCATGAGCCCCTCGCGCTCAGCAGCCAACCCTGGCCTGAATGAGAGCCTCGCCCCCTGCACACCCCGGCCCTCCAACGGCGACTCACCCCCCCACCCCTACCACCGAACCTTCTCCCCCCACTTCCACCATTTTGTGGAGCAGTGTCTTCAGCGCAACCCAGACACAAGGTATTCCCGCTGGCCTGGGACTGGGCTTCGGGAGAGCAGAGGGAGCTCTGGAGCTAGGCCAGGGTCTGAGAGGATGTGCCCCCCAGAAGTTCTGCAAGGGGCTGGCTTCCAGGAGGACTCTGGAGCCCCCACAGCAAGAGGGATCAGCACGAGGGTTTGCTAAGAAGCCAGCGTGGGTGGCTCTGGCTGTTGTCCTCAGTGAGCTGAGGGAAGTAGAGGGCCCTTCAGGATTTTGGAAGCTGGTCGCAGAGGTGAAGCTGGTCTCTCTTGCCCTTTTTCTCCAGGCCCACTGCAAGCACCCTCCTGAACCACTCTTTCTTCAAGCAGGTACAGTAGCACTTTCCCTTGGCTCCGTTTCCTCTTGCCTAGGTTCTTACTACCCACAGTCCCCTAGCTTTGGGGTCTTTTGGTATTATCTCCTCCCTGTGAATTAGAGAAATTAGCAAGTTTCTGAAGCCACTTAAAGCACTGCTCCTTCCTCATAGAGTCTTGGCTCTGATGGCTCATCTGTCACTGGGCCACGGTTCCTTGCCCCATGATGTCCTGGGACCCAGAGCAACAGGATCCATCACCCAACTCTCTCCTCTCCCAGATCAAGCGACGTGCCTCAGAGGCTTTGCCTGAATTACTTCGTCCTGTCACCCCCATCACCAGTTTTGAGGGCAGCCAGTCCCAGGATCACAGTGGAATCTTTGGCCTGGTAACAAACCTGGAAGAGCTGGAGGTGGACGACTGGGAGTTCTGAGCCTCTGCAGACGGTGCACATTCTCCAGCCCGGGACATGGGAGCCTCCAGGGGCCCCTCCTGAGGGCTGGCCACATTCCTACCCTCCCGGGTGCAGATTGGGTAGAAAGGACATTCTGCCAGGAGAGTTGGCTGCTTACTGATTAGGAAAGAAATTCCTGGAGAGACTTTTCTTCACTGCTGCTCCAAGGCTTTTGAGACACAAGGGATCAGGAAGCGTCAGAAAGCTGACATCCCCAGTCCTGTGAGCTTAGGCCACCTCTTGAGAAGGAAGGGATGCTGATCTGGCCCTGGTGGCTGAAGTCCAAGCCCAGTGTTTAACTCCTCGGCCCAGGGAACTGTGTCACCTCTTCCAGCACTTGCTGTCCTGCCAGCCTAATTCCATTCTTTTCCTTTGCCCTCAGGTCCTGTAGGTCCACAGAGCAAGTAATAAGCAGCCTGCTTCCCTTCCCCTCGTACCTCTCCCTAGTAATTGAAAGGAAGGGTATTTCTGCGTTTTTAAGCACCAGGTTAAAGCTGGGGCAGTCCATCCTTATTCCTCTTGTCACCTGGGCCCGGACACCTAAAACTTCCCATCGCTTATCTGTGTAGCTCATTCCTTTCCCACCAAGAGTCCATCTTCACGCCTCCTGCCAGCTGCCCGGTGCTGTCTCTGAGGGCCATAATGTCTTGCCTAGCCTGAGAGCTTAAGTCCTTATGCTGTGTTAATTCCATTGTCAGAAAAATTAAAATTTTCAGAGACTCCATCAGAGAATGGCATCATGTGCTTGCTTGAGTGCAGGGACCACAGCCCTGCTGCCTAGTGTTTGTGCCTACATGGGTGGCTGTGCAGGCCAAGACTAGAGTGCTCTGCCACCTGAGAGTGTGCCCTTGAGGGCTTGTGACCTCTCTCACTACATAAACATAGCAGTTTCTTTTAAAACCCATAACTGGCCGGCTGGTTAGCTCAGTTGGTCAGAGTGTGGTGCTGTTAACACCAAGGTCCAGGGTTTGATCCCTGTACCGGCCAGTCCCCTAAAAAAGAAAACCCTTGACAGACTTGTCCCTTTACTATCTAAAATTTCGAGACTGTGAATTTTGATGGCCTCCCCTGTGGCCATCAAACCACTTTGGGGCTGGAAAGGTCTAAAGGTCAAGGTGCTGGAGACAGCCACTCTGCATGACCACTTTGGGGCCTCTCAGGGTTGAGGCAGAGAAGGAGGTAGAGGGTTTTGTCGTGTAACCTGACTTTGGGTGTTTCCTTACCTTGGGTGCTAACCCCTAGAGAGCAAGCAACCTACGAAACAGACCTGCCCCCTCCCCTGTCATCTTGGCTGGTGGCCGAGTGCAAGTGAGGGGCGGTTCTCCCCTGGGCCTCCTCCGCGGTGCTTCACAGGCACGTCCCCTTGCCAGCCCCTCAGGGTGAGCGGCCCTCTTCTAGGTGGAGCACGTCAAATGCCAGATTAAGGAAGCGCCCTTCCTCTTTCCTGAAGCTCTTTGAACCACCAAATGCCCCCACTTTCCCTTTCCTCAGAAATGTTAACCCCAAGGGCTGGCCTGTTAGCGCAGCTGGTTAAAGAATGGTTCAGATCCCCCTACGGCCAGCTGCCCCAAAACACCAGTTTAAAATGGAAAAGTGAAAAACTTCTTCATTTGGGCAGTTATAGGAGCCGAGGTGAAGGGAATGACACCGCCATGGGGGTGGGGAGGGGTTGGAGGGGACCTGAGGTGCCAGGTCACGATTATTTCCAGCCCCCTCCTTCCCCTGCCCAGCTCGTCTTTTCTTTCAACCTCAAGTTCCCTTTTCCTAACACGTATCAGTTCTCTTGCCTTCCGGAGGGCCTGCCTCACCTGCTGCCGCCGCAGCCTGGCCCCGCGCTGCTGTGCCAGCCGCTGGAGAACCTGATGACAGCCGGGGACGCTTGCCCCAGAGAGAGACACAGCTTCAGAGGGTCCTCCCTCCTCATCAGTGAGCCCTCGGGCCCAGGGCCCAGGCAAAACCCAAGCCTTCGCCCAAGACGCGAGGAGGCTGAGGGGAAAGCGAGCGGGCGGGGGCTGGGAAGCTGCTGCCTCGCCGCTCCCCTGCCAGGCGCCAGGCGGGAGCTGTTCTCTTCCCTGACAAGTGTGTGGGCCGCGCTCCGGCGGGAGCCACCGGTTCTATTCCTGCCACAGCGTGGGAACACGCAGTGCTTAGGGCTGTGCTTCCTGAAGCAGCTTCCCCCCTGATTTCAGGCAAGGGAGCAGTCCCTGGTGCCCAGAAAGGCCCGGCCTCCCAGCAGAGGTCGCTGCCCTGTGTCCTCCCAGCACAGCTGAGGCTCCATCCCTGGGAGCGACCATCACCTGCCTCCACGTGCCTCAGGCTTGCGCAGTGGCCTGCAGCAAAGCGGCAAGCAGTAGTTCTGCTGCGCTGGCCCTGTGACTTGAAGAAGCCCCTTCAAATGTCCCCAGGATAAATGGGGTTCGGGTGCGCCAGGTTTGCTTCTTGGAAGGATGGAAATCTCCTGAGGGGGCGCCCCCCCAATTCTTGCAGGCACTGGTGTCCGCAGGAGTCTGCGGTTACTAACCCCACAAAATCCGGGCACAGAAACGCTTCGGGACGTCGGGTCTTAGGAGGACGGGCGCTCTGGGAACTCTTGGCTGCTGGGACGCAGGAGAACGAGGGTGGTGAGCTCTCCGCACCCCTCGTGCCGGCCAGCTGCGGCGAGCGAACAGTGACGGGGACCGAGCGCGGGTGGCTGGGCCCCACCTGCGGCCCGGGCCTCCCAGCCTCGCCTGGGCGGTGTTGGGCCCGGGTCAGGGGTTCTCGCCGCGGCCCCGCCGGGCCCCGCCGGGCCCCACCCTCGCCTGACCTCCCTCACCCCTGCCCGCGGGGCGCACACGGCGGCTGCGCGGAAGCCCCACGTCCCTGTTCCGCTCCCCGAGCTCGCCGCTAACTTTGTTCTCCCGCCCACACGTGGTTCCACTCAGGGACCCTTGCCCCTTGGGGAGCAGTGTGGGGGGAGGTGGGTGAGGGGCGGAAGTGGCAAGACCAAAAGCAACAGGAAATGACTTAGGGAAAGTCCCAACCACAGCCCCCCAGCCCCTGCCTGTAAACACGCCCCCCCTCCCTGCAGGCTGGAGAAGGCTGGTGGGGCCCTCCCGACCGACTTCCCCTTGCAGAACCCAGCGGGTGCCGCGTCTCCACTCGGGGCTTCCATCACCTCCAACGAGCCATGTTCCAGGCTGCAGGAGCCGCCCAGGCCACCCCCTCTCATGTAGGTGACCAGCCGAATGGGAGGGTCCCCCGAGGCAGGTGCCTGGCCTGGGGTGAAGGGGAGAGGAGCAATGTGTTTGCCTGCCACCCTTTGCCCCCTTTTGAGTGCCATTGGGATCTGGGCTGGCGACCGCTGCGGTGAGCGGGGGTGTCCAAGAGCTGCCCCTGCCCTGACTGCCCCTCTCCCTCAGGAGGCCAAAGGCAGCGGTGGCAGCAGCACTGTGCAGCGCTCCAAGGTAGGGCCCCGAAGGTGGGGTGCGGGGGGGAGGAAGTGCCGGTGCCCGTCAGGCTCCTGGCTGAGTCTCCTCCACAGTCCTTCAGCCTGCGGGCCCAGGTGAAGGAGACCTGCGCCTCCTGCCAGAAGACTGTGTACCCCATGGAGCGGCTGGTAGCAGACAAGCTCATTTTCCACAACTCTTGCTTCTGCTGCAAGCACTGTCACACCAAGCTCAGGTGCGCCCCTGCCCTGCCTGCCCCTACCCTTGCCTTCCAGCCTGGCCTTGCCTGACCCCGTGTTCTGCCTCTGCAGCCTGGGCAGCTACGCGGCGCTGCACGGGGAATTTTACTGCAAGCCCCACTTCCAGCAGCTGTTTAAGAGCAAAGGCAACTATGATGAGGGCTTTGGCCGGAAGCAGCACAAGGAGCTCTGGTCCCACAAGGAGGTGGACCCTGGCACCAAGACAGCCTGAGGCCCCTCTGACCTTCCACTCCCTCCACAGAGAGCCTGGAGCTGGGCAGTGGGAAGGGTGGGAAAGAGGTGGAATCTGGACTTGGGTGGGGGACAGGGTGGGAAGGGTATGAGGCTTGCTCAGGCGGAGAGTTCCAGGGGCAGGGGTCTGCCCTGGGACCCCTTCCTTTTCCCTCAGTGGGCCGGGACTTGGGAACCAGGATTGGGGTTAGCTCGCCCACCCGACTTCCTGCTTTCAGCCCAGCCACCTCACCCCATGGCCCCCTGGTTGGCCCCCAAGCCCAGCTTCCCTATCTAGGTGCCTTTTCTCCAGCAAGGAGTCAGCATGCCCTCCTCAGGGTCCCAAGCTTCCTCACTGCCACCCAGGCCGTGTGCAGCCCCCATGTCTCCCCATCTACCTCTGCCCTTAGCATGGTCCTGAGCCACGGAGACTGGGAGAAGGAGGTCGCAAGTGCCACCTGCTGGGCTTCACAAAAGCCACCGCGCCGGTGGGGGAGGGGGTGGGGAAGTGTGGCTGCCCTGCCCTGCCCCAGTGGGGCCTGGGACCATCTCGCACCACCAACCGAGCGAAGTGGAAGCTGAAGCACCCGCCGGGCTGAGAGTCTCAGAGACCGGTGGGGGCTGGCAGCGCCCATGCTCCCCTCCTCCACTCCCTTGTTTCTTCCCGTTCTGTTGTGATCAAGCCTGTTTTAAACATGTTTAAACAGATCCTGACTCTGTATTATGTGGCCTGATGGGGGGCTTTGTGGCAGGAAGGGTGCAGACTCTCCATGGGGAGGGGAAGAGGAGATAGGGTCAGCCCAGAGCACCCTGGTCTTGATAGGGGGAAAGGGGGGCTGGGTGCTAGGGAAATACCAGGCAGCTTGAGAAAAGGGGGTGCTCCTCTTCCCAGCCGGGGTTCCATGCTGTCAAACCTGGAGTGGTTTTATGACTGAAACCTCACTTTGCCTATCGGCTCTGCGTTGGTTAAGACACCCTGGGCCCACCAACTCACGCATACACCCCCATCCTGAAGAGGAGAGCGAGCGGGAGGGCCGGGCCTCAGCGTACATTAATGTGGTGGGGTGCAGGTCTGAGCCCCTTTCCCCTCTTCCGGCCGGTTCCAGCTATTCAGCTCCCTCATTCCCAGCCCTTTGCCCTGGACACCAGCAAGGAATTGTGGGAACCAGCAGACCTAGCAAGTGCTGAGGAAGGCTTTAGTGGCTGCCCTCCTCTGTCCTCCCAGTCTCTGTGCCCTTTTCCCCTCTCCTGGCTGTTACCTTTTGCTTTTTTTTTTTTTTGTCCTTTTTGAGACCAGCCGCACCGCGCTCAGCCAGTGAGCGCTGTGAGCGCACCGGTCATCCCTATATAGGACCCGAACCCGCGGCAGGAGCGCTGCTGCACTCCCAGCGCTGCACTCTCCCGAGTGCGCCACGGGCTCGGCCTCTTCTTGCCTTTTTCAAGCTCCGGGGAGTGGGGTTGTCCCACCTACTGTCCCAGGTAGTCTACGGAGAAGCTGTTCACCTGCTCCTAAGCACCCAGGCACACTGAGATGATAGGTCACAGCACAGCAAACAACGCAAGCTTGGAGGCCCACCCCTGGCCCCAGCGGAATCCAGGCAGGAAGTCTGAGTTGTCCTGTCCTGGACCCAACTGTCCTTATTTCCCCAAACTACCCTTGCAATAGGTGAGCTGGTGGAGCAAGAGAACAGACTCCTGGAGGATTTGCTGTCGCCACCCCATACAACTCATTGAGTTCTCAGGTGACTTCAAACCTATGGAACAGGGGAGGGAGCTGGACCTCACGCTTTGGTGGCTGGTGGGCCACTATGCCACGCTGAGATAGGCACTGCTCCTTGAGGAAGCAGAGCTAATACTCAGTAAGCAGAAATGGCACCCTGAATCTCATCCTTGGAGCATGAGGAGAGCTGTTCAGACAACTTCCTGACCAGAGGTCTCAGACGGGGACAAGGGTCATCTCTCCCTGCTCAGTTGAGCAACAGTGGCTGATGGGCCAGGGTGAGATACTGGAGAGGTGGCTCCTGGAGGCACCTGATCCCTGCCCTGTAAGGTTGAGACTAAGGGGAGTCCTTCTCTGGGCCAGGTAGGCACTACTATATGACATGAAAGTCCCAGGAGCCCAGCTACTGGTGACATGAGGATCAGGAAGGCCAACAGTGCCACCTCACATTAGCCCTAATGGAACCACCCTCAGTGAAGGTCCTGGAGAGAGAGGGGAAGGAAAGGGGCAGCCCCTCCGAGCTAACAAGGGTACCCAGCCAGGTCATCCCCAGAGCCCTCTTCCTGGAGTCACTCTAAGTTGTCTTCTGCCTGAGGGGCCCAAGCTTGCTGCCAGGTACCATACCCAGCCCCTCCCAGGCAAACACCTACCTGCCACCACCCAACCAAAAGCACTGCCACAGGACCCCTCTGGTATAAATGATCCCTTTTATTGTAAGTAATGCAGGACACTGGCCTGGCTTTGCACTGCAAGCCCTCGGTCAAGATATAATCAAATAACTATGGCTGCAGGTTCTTCTGCACAATCCACAATTCAGACATAGACACAGAGCTGGGGTGGGTGGGAGGAGCAGGAGAGTGGCACAGTGTGGACTATCCCCAGCCCTGACCTCTCCATGCAGGGTTGGCCAAGGCAGACACACCCCATGGAATGAGAAAATGGTGACATGGTCCCTTCCCCCAGCGAAGCCTGGGGATGCTAGCAAACTGCCTTTCAGAACCTTTGGGCCCATGCTATCCTAGAGCCCCACAACTTTTCATCTGGATTAGTTTAAAAAAAAATTAAGCAACAGCTTGGGCCTGAGGATGCTGAGCCAGCATGTCCACAGTTTTTGGCACAAAAAAATCAGGGTCTTTTTTTGTTTTCTGAGGTGCAGGGTTTGTTGGCTTGTTTTCAAATTCATTTTAAAACACATTTCCTGTGAGGTAAGACCCCAGCAGGGTGGGGCTCTGTGAGAACCTGAACCTGGGACACAAAAGAGTCGTCTCATCTTGTCAGCTGGCACCACACTCTTGTTTCCTCTTGAGGAACAGGGACTGGGGACAAGGGTGTGGGTCAAAAAGAATGCTACAGCCATCAGGATGGGGTCAGGGAGAGGCCGAGCTGCCACACAGCAGCTTTGGTCAAGATGAGGGGCCAGTCCCCACCCTGGGTAAGGACCGAGGTGGAGGAAGGAGCATGAGCTTACTGTCTTCAGAAGGCAGTGTGGGGTGGATGGGGCCTAGCAGAGGCCCCTTGAGGAAAAGGGACAGAAACAGAAGAGCCCAGGCCCAGTTGGCACCATGCAACACACATTTCTGCAAAACCAGCTGCTTTCATTTTCTCCTCTCTCTCTCGAGGCGTCCATCACCTGTAACAGTCTAGAATTGATATATATAAAAACCATCAAATATGATCTGAGATATAAATTAACAAGTACAAGGCCTCACATTACATGATGTGAAAAGGCTAAAAACAGCGATAGAAACTACATTCATAAAAGTGCATCGTCAACATACAACGAAGGCTTTGGCTTGTTCTGTGCCCGTGGGGAAGTGGGCGTGGCTGGCAATGAGCTGCCTGGCACTAATCCCCAGCTCCCTGGAGACGCCCATCCCCGGGCACTGGCTTTTTTTCTTCCTTTAATGACAACTCCCAAAGAATCTGGGTGTTGAGAAGGAGGAGCTCTAGCAATAGGCACATTTCGGAGAGGAGGGGCCGGAAGAAAGGACCAGCGCCCAGGCTGAGGTAAATCTGGCCAACTCTAAGCTGCTTGGAGATACTGTTTCTCAGACCCTTGCTGCCATTCGTCTCCCAGGGGAGAAGAAAGAAGGGACAAAGAGGCTGAGACCTCATGGGGATGGGCAAGGCTGGCTAAGGAAGAACAGAGCTGGCGGTTTTGGACACAGTCGGCAGCATGTGGGCTTTCCCTTCTACCAGATGGAGAGAGCTCTGGCTTGGTGGGTCACAACTCAGACAGCCTGAAACACTCCCCTAGCTCTCCTAAATGGCCCACTCCAGGCTCAGGGCAATCCAGCCGGGCCAGTTGCCCTGTGTTGTCCACCTTCCTTTCTGCTCCGGTGTGGGGGCAGGTGCCAGGCCAGGAGCACAAAGACTGTTACCTTCAGCTCTTTCCAATCCAGCCAAGGCCCAGGCCCATAGCAGGGGTACTCAGAGCCCAGAGGGTACACAAAGTCTCCAGTTTAGAAACTGGGTACAGCATAAGAGTGACTCCAGCTTGTAAAACAGAGACAACTGCATTGACAAAACTGGGTCTCCCCCCTCAGTAGGGGCAGTTCCACATCTCAGTCCCCTGTGGGGGGGGGGGGGGGGGGGGGGGGGGGGGGGG